ATTTTATACATATATAACATAACTCCGTTAGCGTTAATAAGCTTCACGAAATTGAACATAAACGCTTCAACGCGTTACATCTATCTTACAGTATGACAGCTTCCGTTCAAAGCAGATGTTCCGGTGCATTAAAAGATCTGGCTGTACGACAGCGACGATTATTCGATGGATGGCGGAACCGGAAGTCGAAGATCTTAATCTGTCTTTAATATCCTGCGTCTGAGAGGACTGCCGAGCAACGATCGCCGTTCGATTCGCAGGCCGAAGGAAAACTGGTTGCTTTCAACCGCACAGCTCTCGAATGGACATCGCTCATTTTCTCACAAAGATAAGAGAGAGAAATCGCGGAAAACAAAAGTTCCGATGAGAAGAATCTCGCTGAACGGAAACGAAATATCGATGAAATGCGCTGAGAATTAATGAGTTTCTATGAGCTCTAGTTGCGTCGCATCGACAAAAATTGATTGCTCTCTTGGCTCTTTTGAGCGACAATAATATTATAAATCCATTTTCGTCAGGCATAAAATATTCTAATCTTTCCAACGTGATCAATATTAAGAACTAAATACGATATAATTTCAGTGACTTCAAATTTTGATATTACAAATGCACAAAAGTAATATTTATGTCTAATTCGTAACAGTTAGAATAAGGTTCTTTGTCACATAGAAGTAAGTGATGGGAAGGTGACAAAGTTTATGAAAAAATTGCTTTGATGAATTAAAAGAACAATAATAATTTAATAGACTTATATAAGATATTAAAAAGTACATTTTATTAGACAATTATTTTAGTTAGATAATTTCGCGGGAAATATAAATATAACAATCTTTTAACATCTTGAAAAAGATTAACTAAAGAAATATATCCCAAAATTTTCAGTATATTGATATAAAATGGAGTATTTTGGAAAATTAATGTCAAGAAATAGCGTTAGAAAATATCTTCACTGTGTAAGTATACTAGTTTTCTGTTATGAGAAAACACTATGTATCATAGAACTTGACATTTCGCTTCTTTTTCGGCGTTAAGACCTGCAACATTACAGAAGCAGACTTTACGATTTGTCCTCGTCGCAAGCTTACTTCGAGAGCACAGCTGAAATTCGTCTTGTCTCTTATCTGTCTCATTTAAAGCATAAGACGATTTAGACAGATGAAAGACTAACAATAAAAAAAGACAAAATATAATGATGAGATATCAATCCAAATGCGATAGAAAATTAGCTGTTATTTTTATTACTTGATTTTTTGATGTCAGTTTAAAGCAATTTAAAATCAATTATTAATATACAAGATATATTCATGAAGCATGAAAATATAATTATAATTTAAATACGCAGTTGTGTGGACGATTTTATTATATAAATTCTTTAATTATGTAAATAACAAACAAAATATTCATAACATTTGAACTAAACTGTTTATATATATTTTATGTTTATAATGCAGTTAAAAGAACATATTTTACAATTACGGATATAATTTAACACAATTTTGAAATAAATTCTTTGCGCGAAATTGTGCAAACATTGCAATGCATAATACGAAAACGAAATCGCTCTCTTGAATAATATAAAATACGTTACGTTAAGTGAGATTTGAACAGCTTCGAAAACACGGATTTAGAATTTTAAAGCCACTTTACGGACAAATTTTAATTCCTAAAGCGCTTTAAACTGTTCTAGAGGCTATTTAAACTTGCAAATCCGTTCATTTGAGTTAGATTCTGATAGTGCTTGCTTCCCTTTAAAAATGCTTTTCTACTCGAAATACAAGCAACGGCGGAGTATTGCATTCCGTTTGCGCCGCGATTAAAGCAATTATTGATTTCGTATTCGCATCGACCGACACGAATTATTCGAAATATTAGCAAATCGTTCGAGAAATTTGCCGCATTGATTACTCGCGGTTGCAGTCAATATGTGACTGACATAGCAAATTCGTAATATTCCTATCATGTTTAAGACATACTAATCAACTTGTCACTTATTAAATTGTCCTACTGCACATTTCAACAAAATATAACATTTTTTCAAATTCAAGAGAGAGAAGTATTATTTTTTTAAATCTCTTTAATATTGAAAATAATGCTAACTTTCAGATTTGTCATATTATTTTTAGAAACTTAAGGTAATAAATAGCATAACAAAAAAAACTATTTTAATATATATCATATATTTTTTATATATCATGCTATGGCATATGACGTGGTAAAAAAATATTATTTTTTTGCGAAGAGAGAGGAAAAGAGAAATTAAATAATTATTATGTTACTAAAACTTTTCTCTTTCTCTTAAAAAAATTTATTATAAAAATTAAGATGTTAATAAAATATTTTGACAAAATATTATAAGTTAAAAATTGCACTCTTTGCATAGTTTTTATTTAAAAAAATATACAATAAATAATATAAAACTTTTTTTCTGGATATTAAACTTTTCTATAATATTGACATTTAGTGCGCTGTCTCTCCTTCCCTTTCTCTCTCTCTCTCCCTCTCTCTCTCTCTTTTTTCTAAAAAATTTTAAACTATGCAAAATACACACTATGCAAAAATCAATTACTTACTAGATCTCATGAATCGAAGGATAATTAATGATATATACATTTTGAGAATACACTCGAGAAGTTTTACTGCTGCGCGCAAATGCGTATGTGCTTTTTACGATTTTACTGCAGTATTTTTCACTGGTCTGACCTGTTTCACGAAATAACAATATTTTCCGGCGAGATCACGAGGAGAAGGAGAAAAAGGAAAAGAAAGAGCGGAAAAGAATTTTCTAGGATCTCTGTGTGTCTTAATTTAATTTTTACCCGTGCAAATGCCTTCCGGGTATGCGATCCATAGGGAAATAGTCTTCTATATTGTCTTCATTTTTTTCATTTTCTCGCAAACCAATTATTTATCTACAAACACATGTAATTTTTCGATCTTAGTTGCATTTGATTCTCTATTATTTTCTGAAACTAGCATACAGCGCGCGCTGCACGCGTGTCATTTGTATGTATTTTAGCTGTTTTATTAAATATTTTAGTTATTTTTTTATTTAACATTTCACGAAAGGATTTGGCTGCTGTACGCTTAATATTAAAAAAAGCTATTAAAATACGTAATATATACGCAATGATAGTTTTTGAAGATATTATTATAAATTCAAAAGATAGTGTATTATATCTTTTTTCCAATTTTCAAAAGCAGTGATATTAAATTGCAAATAAAATTACTTGCTATTAACTCCTTCAATATAATATTTGAACTATCAAATTACAGGATCTTCGTTCAATGATGAATCCTCATCGATATGACATAATATACAGCACATATCATGATAATTGAATTGGCGTTACGAGAAAAAAAGATAACAATAAAATTCGATACTTTTGAGTAATCGACTTTATATGACTTTTAAGATTGAGTGAAGATATATAAAGCATATGATAAAATCATGGCTAAAATTTTGATATGCTAGAAAATGCAGAAAAAATATACATTAATATGCAGAGTGATTTTCGTAAATTTCGCACGGAAGTACTTTAGGACTACATATAGAGCACGAAACAAGAAAAAAGAGAATATTATATAAACGTAGATTGTGTGCCTTTCTGAGTGATAACTAATTAAATAAAAATGTGCTCACAAAGCGCTCGCTTTCCATTATAAAAAAAAAACACTACAATAATTTTTTTATGACTCTACAAGCGAGCTTTTGTATGAACTCGAAACGGCAATACACCATTATTACTTTCTACTTCTTCTATAATATTCTACATTTATAATTATATCTTACAGAATGTACGCATGGTCTAAACTGCAATTGGTTATTACGTACTTACTGCTACAATATGCTTGTAAAAGAGAAAATTATCAAAAAAGCCAGAATTAAATTTTAAATCATTATCTTATTCTCGACGCTGCTTTCTCTAAACAGAGAAACAGGATACGGAGTCATTTTGCGTTAAAACCCCTTCATGAACCATGAGTGGACACGCAGCGCCCATATAACATCCCTTAATACGATCAACTGCGCATAATACCTTAAAAGACACTGTTAGGCGCGGTTACGCCGACAGTCTGGGTTAGCTAACTCTAAGTTAGCGACTCGTTATCCCTTTCTGGATTATAGTGCTATTCTATAACATAGACTGAGAAAGAAAATTTAGTTGAACTGGGTTAGCGTTAAACCACGTCAGTACCATCGGCTCTTAATGGCGCATCGAGGATGCGGCACTTGCAGTATAACGCCGCATTGATTACAAAAGCTAAAGGGGCTTGCGCTACATCGATATAATCGATATTCAACGGATAATCTCGTGGCTTGAACGAGCATCAATTAAAGCTAGTTTGATAAATTGAATTAAGAACTTGTTATACAAATACAGAATCTATAATAGATAAATAAAATAGATAAAATAATTTAAAAATCTTTGATATGTATATATCTCAAGACAAAAATAAAGAAGATTAAATCAGACACATACAAAATAATCGCATATACGTAATATATTTAATTTATTAAAATATTCTACTGACCGTTAATAGTTTTTAATAGATCTTGAACTATGAGAAAATGAGGCTAGTTGCTGAAAAAAATATTTGGTTACCAAGGATAACAGAATTTTTTGAAGAAGTCAAAATACACAGTTTTGTCCTACAGATAGGGTAAAATCGGGTACCTATTTGAAAACATATAAACACTGTGCAATTACGAAATCTTTATTCATTTTAATCAAAATACAATACAAAAATGTATTCTATAAACAAAAATCACAAATAAAGACATCCTCTTGCTCTATATTGCTGCAGGACTTTCTTATTTAATTTTTTAATTTTAGGGGTCTCAAAAAGCTTTATTTTAGTGGTTTCTTGTTCTGAGTGGCAGTCTCCATTTTCAACTGCTTTTTGTAGAAAGACGAAATCAGAATGACAGTTTTTTCTCTTTTCATTATATGAAGTGTGTAGGCACCCGGTTTTGCTCCAACATGAGGAAAATAACAAACATGGCGGTTGTACATTCGGGCGTACAAAGTGACGATCAAAACTAGTGCGATATACTCTCTAATCTACTTTGTAAACAAAAGTTTTTGAAAAAAATTAGAAATATTAGAGTTTCAAATCTTCGAAAATAAATATATGTTTAATCACAACTGATCGCATCTGTGCTTAGAGCATACGTAGTTGCTACACGTTCAATGTGGAAGATAAGATAAGCTTACAGGATTGTAATACAAGCGATAAAGGCCGACAATCCGTCAATCGTACGCATTATCTTCGCTATGAGTCGACTAAAGCAGATAATGCTACAACGCAGGTAAAAGTGCGCCATACTCCGTCATTCGCAGCATTGACAACAAAAATGTTTCCGCAAAATCTACTGCTGATATTGCTCTTCTGCGTCCTTTACTGTCACTGCTACGTGCAAATAATCGAAGAGGTATGTGCTCGTTAAGCTTTAATATTCTAACTGTAAAACTCGACTATCGCTATGCGCGAGATAACTCCTCTTCCATTCATTAAATCAAATAAATTTTATGGATAATCATGTATTTCATATCCTAAATTATTATAATATTCTCTGTAATATGCGACAAAAGATAACATATTTGATAATTTCATGTTGGAAAATATAAAATGTTATTTAATTTTTAAGCTTACATAAAAAGTCTTTAATGTGTGATATAAACATTACGTGTATGTAAGAAATTTTTATAAAATAATTATGAGAGAATTTTCAATTTGTAAAAGTCGACTATCGCTATGCGCGAGATAACTCCTCTTCCATTCATTAAATCAAATAAATTTTATGGATAATCATGTATTTCATATCCTAAATTATTATAATATTCTCTGTAAGATTAAAAAATTGTATTATATATATATATGCAAAAACTTTAGCGAGTAATATTTTAAAATCTATCCTACGCTTAAATTAAATTGACTTCAAAATAATTAGTCAAATAACCAGATGGTGTTAAGAGATTAGCGATTCCAAGGGAAAGTCGAAATTGGGGCTTGTAGTTATTTCGCCTAGATTTTCGGCATTGAGCGCGTGCTTAAGAGGAAAGTTTGCACATTTTCATTGACTGCATAAGTATTCTCTCTTGCGTTAGGTCGTAAAGTTTAGCGACAGGCGTGGTGCAAAGTCGATGCGCGCAGTTGTCGCGCGATTAACCCGTTCACGTGGCCGATATTGCATATTCGGGTCAAATAATGATAACGAGCTAAGTTAAACAATAAGCAGTTTCTCGGAAGGACGATGCTGTCGACAAAAGTTTTAATGAGGATCGAAAGACAAGTCGCTCGATTTCCTGTCTGACATGAACAACCTCGATCTCCTGCCTCAGTCAACTAGATGCGAATTTCAAGCGTCGGCAATTAGTTATACTAAATTGGCAAGTAGATTAGACGGAAATAGATCAAGTTTCGCATAATGGAATTGCAGAAGAAGTTTAATTTTAGATTTTTTTTTTTGTTTAGTATGCAGTATTAATTAATTTCAATTTTTAATAAATAGACGATAAGCAAGAAGAGATCAACTTTTCAGGTTCGAATTTATTAATTTTAAATCAAGATTAATTTTGGTGCATGCAAAAATTTTAGTTTGTTAATATAGTCGATAAAATTACACATAAAATATCATAAAATATTACAAATTTATATAGCAAATAAAGAAGTATTGTGTCACACACACACACACACACACACACACACACACACACACACACACACACACACACACACACACACACACACACACACACACACACACACACACACACACACACACACACACACACACACACACACACACACACACACACACACACACACACACACACACACACACACACACACACACACACACACACACACACACACACACACACACACACACACACACACACACACACACACACACACACACACACACACACACACACACACACACACACACACACACACACACACACACACACACACACACACACACACACACACACACACACACACACACACACACACACACACACACACACACACACACACACACACACACACACACACACACACACACACACACACACACACACACACACACACACACACACACACACACACACACACACACACACACACACACACACACACACACACACACACACACACACACACACACACACACACACACACACACACACACACACACACACACACACACACACACACACACACACACACACACACACACACACACACACACACACACACACACACACACACACACACACACACACACACACACACACACACACACACACACACACACACACACACACACACACACACACACACACACACACACACACACACACACACACACACACACACACACACACACACACACACACACACACACACACACACACACACACACACACACACACACACACACACACACACACACACACACACACACACACACACACACACACACACACACACACACACACACACACACACACACACACACACACACACACACACACACACACACACACACACACACACACACACACACACACACACACACACATCTCAAATTTTTTAAACAAAATTTTATACATTCTACAAATATACTTATAATTACAAATTCTGTTTTATAAAAGTAAAATAAACGTATTGATAATTATAATTAATTATTTTTTTAGAAAAGAGAGATAAAGATACTGTTATATAATACTGAGATGACATATACAATAACATTGAAGATGATTCTGATATATGTACCAATGTTTATTGAACTGCGAGCGATAATATCTATGATATTTCGATGTGAAAGGTTGAATGTATGAAAACACATTTCAAGCGCACATTATAATAAAATCCAACATTTTACCTTTGAAAGATAATGTTTCAAATTTGCTAAAAGTTTACTAAAAAGACAGGAGACTGTATCAAATTGTGAAAATATAAAAAATGCATTATTTTAAGATAAATTTGTAATATTATTACATAATGCATTATATCATGATACATGAGATAATCTTAAACAGTCAAATTGTATCTTTATCTCTATAAATATATTTAATTTCTTAATACAAATCCCCTCGATTACTGTATCGTAGTTGCATAAAAGTCAAGTAACACCGTTGTAAGTACTTCGCACTCTCATCTTTCATTTCGTTTATAATGCTTATAAAAGTGCTTTTTACCTTCCCCGTCCACTATTTCCTTCCTTGTAACTTAAAGAATTTACTAGGACAAGCGACCATTTAAACACTCGGCGGCAAAAGATTTAGCTTTCTTTCCTTTAATTAATTCCCCGTTGATTTTTCCAAATATTAAACGACTAAAAAGGAAAAACAAAGCTTATATAAAAGATTCTCTACAATAGTGTTCCAATAAATTTTTATGTTTTAGGTGTAATATATATCACGTTAAATATTAGCTTCTACATACTCATATTTTGGCTATTTATCATATTCCAAATATTACTATAAAAATTTCTCAGTTTTATTTGTTTTATCAGTTTTCCTGTATTCAGTTGAATAGAACAAAGAGTGAGCTTTATGATGAGACTACAAAAACGCGAAAAGAGAGCAGGAGGTATAGAAGAGAAGGTCGCGCTCGAGGGAACATGCATTCAAAACTAAATTATAAAGTTTCATTGTGTCATCAATACTTAAAGGATTAACGCCTTCTTGCAAAACGCGTGTTGAGAATTCTATTCAGTCGTACTGGTTTGCACAAAATCAATGCAGAATTGAGTGAAATTAACCGCAACTAATTAACCAAACTAATTAACCGCATTTCCATGCCGTATATATATGCGTGAGTTATTTTTATTTAAAGCTCCGATGAAAAAAAAAAAATCTCATCTGTCTCGTATATATCTCTTATATATCATACAAAATATTTTAAAACTCACCAAATATATAATATTATTTCAATAACAGATTATTAAAAAAGAGAGAGACAACTTTTCCTTAATATAATTTTTTAAACTACAATGATTTTTAAATTATAAGCAATTAAAAAAATTTTAGAACTGAACTTCAGAAAGTCACCAAACTTCTTCAATCTAATTTTACATAGATTTCAATTTTTATTTGAGAAATTTAGTTATAATATATATTATTTATATTGTAATAAATATTGTAAAAACACACTTTTATAATAATCTCTTCAACATTTTTGCTAAGAAAAACTCGATTGCAAATTGGTCAAAGAATCTGTCATTAAAATTAATATATTAGTATTATCAGCGGATTATTTGCATTTTTATGTTAGTCATCGTGTATTAGTAATACACAAACGGAAAATAGATTTTGATCAGAATTGCTACATTTTTACAAAAAATATGTGGTTTTGATGTATAACATGATATATAGCAAATCCTTTTATCATAATATATAAATATAAAAATCTCGCCATCGTGATTACCATGAATAATATCTTTGCATTCAAAGGTTGAATTTATAATTTCTTAGATTTAAAAAAAGTAAGAACAGCAAAAATAAACACAAGTAATAATATAATTCTGATTGGAAATGACGAGACAAATTTTCTTACGAATATGAGAAGATCGAAAATGAGTGCATTTCTAATATAATGAATCTTTCATAAAACCTATATATCATTTTTATGTACATGATTGATGTATACACGAAACAGGCAATATTTTTCACGTACATTGTAGCAGTTTTCCATATCAATATTTTTGCATATGCATATCTACTTTCATGTTATTTTTAATTTTTTTATATTTATTTGTTATATTTATTCATACAGGAGATCACAGCAACACAAAATATAACAAAAACTGCAATGAACGACGCGGAGATCCTATCGACTGTCATGGTTTGCAATATGTTCTTCGTCATGATTGTACTAGTTCCGACAATGCTATATTAGTAAGTACCTCTTTCTGCATATTATAAAAATATATATCATATACAATATTATCTTGATTAGTTCCACAAAATCGTTTTGTATTAAATATTTTTTACGTATAATTATAGTAACTGTTTAAATAAAATTGCATTTCTATTACTTCTTATCTTAGTTATTTAAAAATACGTCAATGTATAAGATAAAATGTACAGGAAATATTTATATACAAAAATAATTTTTTACAGTAGGTACTACTCTAAGGAAAAGAATGATGAATGATGGCCAACCAATCGAAATATCGTCAATATTGGTGATATTGTAGACTGCAATTATCTTTCACACCAGTTAAATTGAATTATTAAATAGATATATATATATAAGTATTGTCACATATCAAGATGGAAAAAGAATTGAAAATGTAATGAAAATCAATCTTTTCATCACAAAATTGCCGCATGCCGCCGTTAATCCGCATATTCATTCAATAAATATGCATGAATTAACAGCGGTGTTCGCGTAAATTAGTATGAATTTGATAATTAATCTGTCAATCTGGTTTTATAACTCGTTGTTAACGAAACCGCGCGAACAGACTGCTCTGCTAAATTTCGATTCGATCAAAATGCAAAATACAACGAGGGCGATGCATTTTGTACGGTAAACTCGCACGAAGTGATTAATGGATTATTTTTATAATATGTTTAATGTGTACATATACAACATTGTCTGCTAATCAGTTACATATATCGACAATATTTAATATAATTTTCTTAGTGTTAACATTTTATCAATGACAAAATTATAGTTAAAATATAAAAATTAAAATAAAATATCAAAATTATATAGTTAATATTTATGTGTGTATAATTTTTTCTTTGTTTATAAAACATTGTTTAATATCAATTTTATGGAGTTTTGTCTTTCTTTGAGATTCCCTATTTTCTATTGTAAATATTAACATTTATTACTAAAGCGAATTGAAATTACTCTTCGGAAGCGATTAAAGCCATTTTTATGAATTCTCGTATTTGACTAGCAATGTATACGGATGCAAATTAAAAGCCAGACTAGAACCATGACATTAATTATTTTCAGAACCATTCAAACTAACTTTTAAAGTGTTAATTATACTTTTTATTTTTTATTGATAAAAGAAAGTGTAAAAGCGTATAGATGTCAAACCTAATCAATTTATCTCACTTATCTGATATTGAAGAAAAAAACATAATAATTTAAAGAATTACTGTACAATTTAACTTTTATCAGCTACATTTTCTTAGTATATGCTGCCATCTTACACTTGTTTCATATACTAAAACGATTTAATATGTGTAAAGTTCTCTGTTATGTAGAATGTTGAATTTTATTATATATTGACTGTTTTTACATATAATAATACATATAATAATTGGAATTTGGAATTTATCATTTTGACGTTTGTTTATGAAATACTATTCTACATTTGTTTATGCATTTAAAAATACAAAATAATTTAAAAAGAGTATTACAAAATTTAAGCATAAATAACACTTTGAAATTTAAAAGCAAAAAAAGATTTTTTCTGTCCCAGATAAAGCTGTTATAAATCTTAATATAAAAATAGCTATAATAAGAAAAAAATCGTTGACATAATAAATAATATTTTGATTGATTATAAATATATACATATGTACAATGTTACTGTATGTATATTCATACATTAATTATATTGACTAAAAATAAGAAAAAACAAAATTTTAGAATTCAGACGAAATTTGAGCGATTTTTATTTTTAAAAAATTGTAAATTATCTAAGAATAATCCTTAATTGATTATTCACTCTATAGTATCGAATCGATGAGCACAATATCGGAAACGATAAAATATCCAAGTTCCAACGAAACGTACGAACATTGGTGCTGGTATCTCAACTTCAAGCATTTGCTGACGTTGAACGATAATGAAACTACACTCGCATTATGTTTGACCGAACGGTCTCGATAATTTCATTCAAATAGAGTACCTACTTTATCAACTTGGATAGCCATCATGTTTGTCAATGCGCGATTGCAGAATAATAATGTGGCGCAACAAAGTATGCGACATACGCACGTGTTGCAATAAGAAATACGTGTGAAATGCGAAACAATACGGTCGCACATGTTTCATCCATTGTTATACGCGTATATAAATCGACGGTTGCTCGTGTCGAAAAGATTCGATCTATACGTATCGTCAAAAAGTTTTTTTTTTTATTTCAAAGAAAAGATAATTTCTTGCGCAAGATTTCTGAAAATTTTAATAAATAAAATACACTACAAATTTTTACAGCCATAATTATTAAATAAAAAAGATAGCTAATTTAAAAAAAATATAGAAGCTTGTAGTTTAACATTTCATGTTATTTTTATATTTATTTATTATTCATTGATCCCTGAATATTTTTAGATAAATAATTTTTGTCTTTGTTAAATTGTTGAGACTGTCTTAAGTAAATTTTAAGACAGTTTCAACAATTATGCGCAATTACTTTAAATTTTTATTTTTAATTTACAATTAAATCAACAGAGAGAACATTCTTAATTCTAAATATATTTTTAATATAATGCTAGCTTTCTCTCTCTTTTTTTCTTTTTTTTCTTTTTTTGCAAAAGCAAACTATATCTGAAGATTTCAATTATTACAGCAAAATTTTTTTTTTTATTTCAAAGAAAAGATAATTTCTTGCGCAAGATTTCTGAAAATTTTAATAAATAAAATACACTACAAATTTTTACAGCCATAATTATTAAATAAAAAAGATAGCTAATTTAAAAAAAATATAGAAGCTTGTAGTTTAACATTTCATGTTATTTTTATATTTATTTATTATTCATTGATCCCTGAATATTTTTAGATAAATAATTTTTGTCTTTGTTAAATTGTTGAGACTGTCTTAAGTAAATTTTAAGACAGTTTCAACAATTATGCGCAATTACTTTAAATTTTTATTTTTAATTTACAATTAAATCAACAGAGAGAACATTCTTAATTCTAAATATATTTTTAATATAATGCTAGCTTTCTCTCTCTTTTTTTCTTTTTTTTCTTTTTTTGCAAAAGCAAACTATATCTGAAGATTTCAATTATTACAGCAAAATTTTTTTTTTATATAGCAAGAGAAAGAATCTTATATTTATTCTATTTTTTTCTATTCTTATTCGAGCTTGGGATTAGCAATAGCATAATTAAAATTACGCAAATTTGTTAACTAACCACTATATATTTTATTTTTATTTAACTGTAATAAATACAATAATATTTAATAATATATATCTAAATTATTAACAGAAATAATTTAATTATAATTTTCTTGTATATTTTTCATAATTCTATCATACTATTAGCAGAGAGAAGCCTGAAAGGGGCCATGCCGCCGTTTCTCGTGAGACCGTTTTCCTAGCTGTAGTGGCGCTAACTGAATCCATTTTAGAGCCGGCGGAACTACATGGCCAGATCCATTTTTTGATGCCATGGTAAAACGACCGGTTGGTGCATGTCCGTGCTAAACACATTGTGGATAAAAAATGCGGAGAGATATTATGGATTTATTAATGTTTTATTAGCTGTGCGCGTGATGTTTTGCCATTCTAGTATATATTACGGACAGCGATAATAAGTTATTATATTATTGAAATATTTTTATATATATGCGCATGTAATATAAAATTAATTTTCTTAAATTAATTTTCTTAATAATTTTTTTTCTAATTTTTAAATATATAACGTGTAGAAGATATAAATATAAACAATAAATAGCTTTTACTTTTTTTTTATTCTTGAAACAAAATTATCAAGCATTTTAAACAATATCAAATTATTATGCTTTTAATTAATATAGCTTTTTATAATTAATAATTAATTTATTATTAATTATATTATTTAAGTGATTTTTTAATTTATAAATTCAGTTGGATGCACTAGTGCACACTGATGCACATTAAAAGCTATTATATATAAATTTATATAAGCGTAATTTATATATAAATAAAAGTAAAACGATAAGATAATTGATACTATACAGTCTTTTGAAATATACATACTGTATGTCTTTTAAAAATAAACATAACAATAGATACGCTTTGCTTAACATTATTTTCGCTCGAAGAACAAGATCCGAATATTATCCGAATAAATTTCAATTCGAAATAAATTTAAAAATTAAATAAAATATTTTTTTCCTTATCTAAGTAAAAATTATCCGAATTATATCGTGTTTTTGATATCATTTTAATTAAAAATGTCATTAATCCATTAAAATTATTCTCAAACCGATAAAGTGCAAGTAAGAATCTTTTTCAACGTAAGAATCAAAGTGACATAAATCTAAATTATAAAATATCGTTTTGTTGCGATCTTTACGGACAATAATTATTTCTTTAACAACAAATAGAATCAAATATATTTTGTTCATGATACTACATCATTTGATTTTTCGATGATCTAGATATAATTTGGATTAGGTGGATTAAGAACGTGCTATAAAACGATCGAAGCAAAATCCATTAATTAACATAACGATAAGCTCCGTGATACATTAATCGTTTAATAAATAGTAGCGACCCTGATATCCTGAGAGGAGGAGAAGGCCTAGGAGAGGCATCCTGCACCAGCGGAGCAACCCAAGGGTGAGTATTTATTATTTGTATATTGGTTGTTAAAAATCGCGTACGCGCATTAATTCGGTCTCTTTATTTGACACAACAAATCAAACGAGAGAAAATTAAAAAAAAAAGATTTTTACATATATCTTATAAAAGTTTCCATGTAAAAAGAAGTTTTTTTATAATTTATAAAATTATTCCATATTTATATAGAGCTTTTTAGTATTGTACGCATCGGATACAAATGGATGAGCTAAAACAAATCAAATTGAATAACTTTTAATAAATTCTTTTGATATGCATTGCATCTATTGCAAAAGTAAATTAAAGTCTAAATTATGAAAGGAAAATTATAGAAAACATTTTTTTCTGATTTGTAGATTTTATCTAATTTATTAAATAAAGAACGCTAATAATTTTATCAATTATATACGTGTGATGGTAACTCATTTTTATAACGCGCGCTGATCATATCATAGTTTCTTTCAGAAACACCATATTTTTCCGCGTTTTTTCCGTTCTTTCTGTTCTTGAACGCGATTGCTGTCCCTCTCGTCAGGTAAATGTTAATAAAGTTATTTGGTTCGTACCGGCAAGTAGTCGAAACGATCTTTATCGTGGGGAATTATTTCTTGTTGGTTTTTGTAAGATCCATCCGCGACGTCTAGTTCGGTGCTTTGTTGAAAATTGGGGATTTTCGTTGCAGGATTGGAATTAATCCTAGGTTTTCCTGGCGATTTCTGAAAGTAATGATTTCGGTAGTAACATAACGACGAGCACCACACGTCTCTTTAAAGTCGAATTAAGAAATTAATTTAAACAGTATATATTTTTTTAGAAAAAAAATATATTTTTTCTTCTCTTTGTTAAAAGTGTTCTTCTATCATTATTAGTATTCATATTATTATTGTTTTTATATGAAAAAGAAAGACTTAACAATAGATTAAACATGGATATAGCTATTATGTATAGATTTATATTTTTTTTTAGTAATTTCTAATTGCTATCAGTTTGTCCAATTTTGACTTTTTTGATAAAAAATAATGGTTACGAACAAATATATTTTAATAATTAACTATTAATTAATATAATTTTTGGTTTTTATTGAGAAACTATTTCTAGGCACTTGGGATATTAACATTAGTTTTTGGTTTCTTTTAAGAAACTATTTGCAGATACTGGACATCCCGCTACTCTAGGACCTAGAACATTAGACTTGGATTAATGTTTTTGGATATATGTACTATTCTATATATATAATAAAATATATGCACAAAT